GGCCAAGGGAAAAAAAACAAGTTCAAAGAAAGGCAATCCATCTAGCGACCTCTTTTCTTCTCTACACAAGCAGAAACACCATCCAAATATCACTGTATGGTGTTTTGTGAAATTGTACATCTATATGTGGAGGTGGAATGAAAAGAGGACATGAGAGCTGGTCTTGTTTAGAACTAACAAAAGGTTACTTCTCTCTTTGTGACATTCATTTGGACTCCCTAAGTGTAGAGCCTTGAATTCAAACTAAGCGTTTCCAACCGAGTGAAGGGTGTCCATCTGCTCCGAATTCCTCTCACTGTCATTGCCATACAAATCATTTAGCAAGAAAACATATACTGTCTTACGCTATCTTTCCTAATACAAAAGATGTGAGTTGATTTAAACTTAACTTTTCAGGAATTTCTGTCTTCTCCTCCCACCCAAATGTGAGCTCTTTGAAGAACAAACTGGGTTCTATAGTTTTCTGTATCCCCTCACTCTCTTCCCTAAGAGTTTGCTCAACAGATATTTATACCTCACTGACTGATGCAATCATTTAGCAAATATTTACTGGATTCTACCATGTGCCAGGCTCTGTGTCAAGCATGAGGGTACAAGATTGAATGGGACACTGGCTAAAAGATAAATGCCTGGCACATAATAGGCACTCAGTAAATGAGAGACTGAGCAGGTGAATGAATAAATGAATGGATGCATCAATGAGTGAATTCTGTACCACAGAACTAAGGAATAATAGCAAGAAAAATGGAATAACCACTTAAGTTATATTAAACCAAAAGTCATCAAAGTAAAAGATGTCAGCCTGTAGAATATCTATGATTCAAGAAAATGTCAGGGACATCCCTGGTGGTGCAGCGGTTAAGAATCCGCCTGCCAGTGCAGGGGACATGAGTTCGAGCCCTGGTCCAGGAAGATCCCACATGCCGTGGAGCAACTAAGCCCGTGTGCCATGACTACTGAGCCTGCGCTCTAGAGCCCGCGAGCCACAACTACTGAGCCCATGCACCACAACTACTGAAGCCCATGCGCCTAGCACCTGCGCTCCGCAACAAGAGAAGCCACCGCAATGAGAAGCCCGCGCACCACAATGAAGAGCAGGCCCCACTCGCCACAACTAGAGGAAGCCAGTGCACAGTAACCAAGACCCAATGCAGCCAAAAATAAAATAAATAAAATAAATAAATTTATATATATATAAAAAGAGTAAACAATTAAAAAGAAAATGTCAAATGTGGGGAAAATAAGAGCAGCCCTAACATTTATACCTCTGGGCCATCTCCGTGGCTATTTTTAGTGTGTGGCTCTGGAATCTTGCAAAGAATTAAACTGATCCACATAAACCAAATATTCTATATAAAGAGTTTGACTAACTCTAACACCCCAACTCTCACTTCTCCCAGATTTAGGGATGAAGAATCTTAGGTGTTGTCAATTCCATAGAAATCAGTATGTACAATAATATTATTGTGAGTTTTTACTGAGGTCTGAAATACTGATATGCTGTGATTGACTTTAATCACAAATTTGCTTCATCAAAAGCAGTAAAATCACCACAGAATTATATTACTCCTTGTCATTTTCCTATATGCAGTATAATATTGAAGTCATAGTTTATTTTCTCCTTACAGTATTGTAAGAAAACCAGATTACCAAGGTAGAAGTTGATCTCTCTTGCAAAGCTACTTATCTTCCTGACATGCAGAGCACCAGCTGATTTCGAACAGAGTTTCACAGCTTTATAAAATAGAACCATATTTGGCCATCAATGAACCAAAATAAAATACCTCTCTAGAAGGATAAAGGAAATCAATATTTACATAAAGAAACTTAATAACAAACCAACCATGGTGTTCAAAGTTTTGTGTCTTTAAAATAGGGCATGCATTATTCATACTGTGAAATCTCAAACCAAAGGTGGAAAGTATGAGTTATCAGCAATATTGTGAGTCTTAAAAACCATTATCTCCTTTGCAGAAGAAAATGAAAGCCACTTTGTTCATCCTATTCCAGGTCGGCATGCTTAACAATGTCACTTAAAGGCAGGAGGGGGACAGCAAGGAAAAAGAAACCTTCCTGAGATCATGAATTCATCTCCTTTCTCAAGAAGAGAAAGAAGCAGTGAGATATTTCCAACGAAGAAAATGTAGGGGCCATTCCCCCACTCCCTAGGAGACAGACCCAGGCACTTGACAAGTTCTAGAAGCAATTCAAAGTGAGGACATGGAGAGAGATTCCTCCACTCCCTATGGAAACATTTCCAAATCTCTCCCTCCATTATCCTTAGACAGGCTCAGTCCATAAACTTTCTAATATTTGGACTGCAAAATGTCTAGAAGACACATAGATATTTTAAAGCAAGTACATGCAAGGAATAGGGAGTTAATGAGAGTGAAATCCATTCTGGCTGAACCAATGTGAGAACTGGGTGAAGCTGAAGTAACCCCACCAGAGCACAAACCCTGTTCAGTCATATTAAGTGTAAGAGCATCTCTATTCTCACATTGTTTTTGGTTTGAACTCAGGCTGAACTGCCTGGAAACCTTCTCTATGTGGATAAGGAGTAGCATCCATTTATTGCCATATTACATGTGCTTAAAAATCCCAGCAATAGGGGCTTCCCTGGTGGCGCAGTGGTTGAGAGTCCGCCTGCCGATGCAGGGGATATGGGTTCGTGCCCCGGTCCGGGAAGATCCCACATGCCGCAGAGTGGCTGCGCCCGTGAGCCATGGCCCCTGAGCCTGTGCGTCCGGAGCCTGTGCTCCGCAACGGGAGAGGCCACAACAGTGAGAGGCCCGCGTACCGCAAAAAAAAAAAAAAAAAAAATCCCAGCAATGTTATCCAGTTACCAATGTTATCTCATCAAGTAGAAATGTCTAATAATTGTTAAAAAAAAAAAAAAAGGAGGAAAGAAAGAAAGGAAGAAAGTATCTTACTAGTGATCTTTCATCTGGCATAAATAAGAGGCTAAGCCCAAATGTCCAAAAAAAGAAAAAGAAAAAAGTCAAATTTGCTGTTTGCAATTTTGTTTGCTTTGCTGAATCCTTGGACTGTTTTTGTTTTTCCAATCCGCTCATACAAACAGTTTATACATGGTCATTCCATGAAACTTTTTGTAGTCATCCAGAAAGAATCAAACATAATTACTACGGTTCCTAGTCTCATGTGTTTGCCCTTCCCAAAAGATTTTCGAAAGTTCAGGAAGAAGAGGGTTGAATTACAGATGAAGAATTTCACCTTCAATACTGAAAAGGAAAGATTTGGGTTTTGCAAACACAGTGAACCCCTTCCTCTACCAAGGGTGGAGCTCAAACCCTCACACTGTTCTTTTACTTGCCCATAAACGCACCACATCTGGAAAATCTTTCTTGGCTGTAGTCCTACTCCATAGGTTTTGTTCATGCATTCCCACACTTTTAGTCAAGAGGCTGTCGGTCACGTACAGTCCACTTTGGCAACAACAAAAATGACTGTTGGAATTCAGTGGCTTCCGCTACCACGACCAAAAATGCTTTCCACTTAATTCATAACAATAGCATTTTGCGCTTATGTATTTGTCTCATCAAAGCACTCTGCCGCCATTAATGAGCTAAATCAGCCTTTGCTATTTTATAATGTCTCACTACAATGAGGTTGCTTTTCTCTGTGGCAGTCACTTGTGTCATGTTGTTTTCTTCTAGCAAACACTGAACTTAACTAATGTAAATTCATTTTTAAATTGTGGGCTCAGAGGAAAATTTTCCTGGAATATATTTTTAATGCTGCATCCTTACTATAACATTACAGGGAGCATTTTAAACTATAAAGACACATAAGTTTTTCAATGTAGTCTTCTCTAAGTACTTGTAATTTATAAAGACCCCCGCAAGTAAATGTGTTGTAACTGCCAGTGATGGAAATGGAAATTGTCTGCTCTGTGAACCCTATTACTATTTATTTGTATACTGTTTAATGATTGGCTTACTGATGAAATACTCCGTCAGTGTACAAGAAAAAGCCGCAGCTGGCAAGGAAACTCTAAATCCTAAATCTGCCATGTTTTAACTCTGCTGTCTCTGCTACTGCTAGACCACTTTTTTTTTGTAATACTGATATGGCAGTTTAATTCAATGATAATTAGATCTATCTGTCTACTGTAAGATATACAAACATATACTTTTCTGCATTCCCCTAGGAAAAAAAGTAAGTTTCATATCATGGACCACTTTTTACAAGTGCTTAATGGCTCATTCCTAGGAATTTGATCTCAAGTGGAAAGGAATGGCTCTCTGAAAATTAGTGTATGCACACTTTCAAGTTTAGACAGAGATGGAATCCTCAAGACCCTAGGTTGAGAAACTCTATAAACATTGGTTGGTTGCCTCCCAACTTCTATTCCCAGCATTCTTGGTAAGGGCCTTCTAATTCCTGTTTGAGGAACTACCATATTCTTCTATTCTTAGCCTTGTACTTAGGCTAGAGTTGCACCTACACCCAGCTCCAAAGGTAGGATTCCTGGCACTTCTGATTGGTTTGGGGATGGGCACATGACCCAGGACTAAGCCAGTCTTAGTTCATCACATCATCTTCAACACAGGGATTAATATAGGGTTGACATTTCATCTATGTTTGTCCAATCAGAGTGAACTTGGGACTTTTCCTGGGAATTCTGATGTAGATTCTCTTTCCTTTGGATGGTATAGTGTGATGATATGAGACTTGAAGCTGCTACAGTCATCTACATCCTTAAGAGAAAAGCCTAGGATATCTTGGGGAGGCCACCGTGTGGAATTTGCAGAGGACTCTGTAGAAAACAGTAGAGACACAGGCAAACCTGGGACCGTGATATTGTTGACTCTGTATTAAATAGGGAGCAGATTGAACTGCTGTAACAAAGAGACTCCAAAAGATACAATTGCTGTTTGAAATTCGTTATCTCCCTCATGTCCATAGGTGGGTGGGTGGGCAAGACTGGTAGGCAGTTTGGGGCTGTGAGGTCATTTAGGAACCCAAGATCTTCCTACCTTGTTGTCCTGTTCCCCTGGAGTACTGACTTCATGTTGCAAGGTAAAAGCTGGTTCACTGCCCTCCCATATCATCCATGTTTCAGCTGCAAGAAAAAAGAAATATAAAGTGGAGGACGTGAAGCTTATTTTAAGGTAGGATTTACCAATTTTAGCTCTATGGATATTTTGGAGGTGATGATTCTTTACTGTTAAGAGCTGTCCTATACATTGTAGGATGTTTAGCAGAATCCCTGGCCTCTACCCACTTAAGGCCCATATCACCTCCCCAAGTTATGACAATCAAAAATCTCCCCAGACATTGCAAAATGTCTGGGGGATGAAATAGCCCCTCCACTGAGAGCCACTGTTTTAAAGATATGCTATGGAGTTCACTTCCATTCACTTCCAATAGCCAAAGTTACTTATTTGGCCATACTGAGTTGTAAGAGAGTCTGGGAGAAATATTTCTAGCTGGATGAAATGGTGCCCAGGTAAAACTTAGGAGTTTCATTGCTAAAAAAAAAAGGAGGGGAGAGAATTCCCTGGCAGTCCAGCGGTTAGGACTCCATGCTCTCACTGCCAAGGGCCCGGGTTCAATCCCTGGTGGAGGAACTAACATCCCGCAAGCTGCACCGCCCAGCCAAAAACAATAAATAAATTTTATACATCTTTTAAAAATAAAAAGAAGGGAGAAAAGGATTTTAGGGGACAATTAATCTTTGCCACACAGCCCTACTTCTGGACTTTTCCACCATATGTGGTGGACTGAAATGAGTTTTCAGTCACTTGAAATTTGGGACCTTACTTGATAAAAGTGCTACTTTCCTCTTCCAACACGATAAGTTGAAATTTACTGAACATTATCCATGGGGTGGGCCGGGGGGAGCGGGAAGGTGAAAGGAATGATACCTAAAGTTACTCAGAAGCTGGGTACTGGCTCAGAAGGGATTGAACAAAACAACTGAAATGAGGCTGTTTCATAACAAGTCTTTGGTTGAAATGGAAAGGCCATGGTTACAAGGGCCCACGGTCACTGTGGTAGTTAAGAAAGAAGACAGTATAATTATGCAAAATTGTCAAGATGAAAACTGCAGGCATCTTGCATTATTCGGCTTTGAACTGCTGCTTTCTAGTTCTCATTGTAAATACAAAAAGCCTTTAGTGGCCCCTTTATATCTCACACAAAAGGATCATTGCTTACAGCCAGCTGTTTTGCAATTCTATTTCTATGAAGTTAGAATAATTGGACATTAGAACTGCCTAAGGGAAGAAGGGGGTGACAGTGTTCTTGGGTATTAAAGTAGAGTATGGAATAGTAATGGAAGGATCCCCCTTGTTACAAGGAGATAGTCTTCCCAGAGTTCATCCTGAAGCCAATAGTTCTGAATTCAAAACACATTTTCCCACAAGAATATTGTTTTTATGTTATTAGATAACCACAGAAGTCCTCCAATACCAGAAAAGAAAGAGATGTATGCTTTGCAATAGTACAAAAGAAAATGCTGCAGGGCAGACAAAGGTTTGTCTGAAGGTTCTGACTGAGAAAATCATCAGTAAAATCTTCAGGGAGGAGGTGACTTTTAAATCACATTTACAATGGGAAAAGAAAGCATCTCAGGCTAAAGGACAGGCAGTTCAAAGACGGGTATTCAGTTCTCTGTGAGGACAAGTGAGTATCGACCAGGAGTGGAGCACAGGGTTTGTGGAAATGAGATGAGGAAGTTAGGATGGGCTGTGAATGCTATGGTAGAGTTTGGAGATTTTTTACGTTGGCAAGTCATTAAAGGCTTTTAATGAGGGAGCTAGTGTGATCAAATGTCATTTTAGCAATTATAAGAAGACTACTTTGGTGTTGATGGCATGGTAGCAAGAGAGATTGGATTTCTGATCTCGAGATGTGGCAACAAGTTAGAGAGAACCAACAAGTGTGACAAGGTGGAGGGAAGTTGGCAGGATGTGGTGGCTTACTCTTCATGGGAGGTGGAAAAGGAGGAATCAAAGATGGCCCCAAATCAGGCTGGACTCATGACACAAGAACAGGCCAACAGGGGAGGTAATGAGCTCAGTAGGTTTCTGTCCCAAGGATAAAAGAGCCGAGGGAGTTATAGTTATGGCCTTATAGTACAGCATGTGGGCTGCACTTACGTTTCTGCAAAGCTCACCCAACATGGTGTCCCTATAATTGAAGGAAAACAACTTACTGAATTTCATACTTAGTTCCAAAGTCTTCCTCCAAGGTTACTCTATGTCCTTTTTTGGGAATGTATCTCTACATGTTGAAACTGCGCCAGGGACACCAGTGTTGGTGAAAACATTACATTCCAGTGCCAGACTCTGTGGCCAGAAGCTGTTTAACTGAGGTGGCAGTAATATTGAAATCATAAGGTTGTACTGCAGGGTGTTTGAGAAAAGAAGTGTAGAGAAAAATCCTATTAAATGTGTGCTAAAATAATATCAAATGTGATTACACTCTAGAGTCTTGGGGCAGATGAAGGGAGAGGAGAAAATAAAGAAGTATCAGTAATGGTCAGAGAGAAAAAGAGGGGACCAAGGGAGAGTTTAGTGGGAAGAGAGCTATCTTAGTCTGGAGATAGATAGACAGACAGACAGGTAGGGCTCTGCTATAACAGAATACCACAGACTGGGTGGCGTAAATAACAAACATTTATTTCTCACAGTTCTGGAGGCTGAAAGCTAGAGATCAGGGTAACAGCATGGTTGGGTTATTAGGGAAGGCTCTCTTCTTCATTTACAACTCTCCTCATTGTATCTTCACATGGCAGAGAGAAAGATCATCTCTCTTATGTCTCTTCTTATAAGACTCCACCCTCCTTTGATTGCCATACCCAACCTCCCCATTTCCATCCCTTCCATAGACAAAGCCATCAAATCAACCGAGCCTTTGTACAGCAAGGTAGACTGTGGAGAAGTCTGGAAAAGCAAGAAAATAGGGGCATATATGTGTCATCACTCTTCTTACTCCCTAACCAAAAGAGGATGGCGGATTCAGTGCATCCAGGGCAGATCAGATGGAGATGAGTGGGATGGGATGCAATGCCTAAAGGACTATGTGTAGGTGGTAGCTCGAGCTAAATATTGGAGCATCAGGGCCAGATCAGACCACTAGGAATTGGTTGTGGGAAGAAATCCTTCAGAAAGAAAACTCCTACCACTTAATGTGAAAAATATATGTGAGGG